CATTTCCAAATATCTCAATCACCTCAAAACTAAGAGCATCATCTTCTGTGCTTTATATTATGCTGAAGTAAATATTGTTATGACCTCACACGTATTTGCGTATTATTGTCACCTTTTAAAGCACAATGAAATTAAACCATTATATAATAATCAGGCTACTCTAAGAGAAAGTAATATTTACTGAATATAATTAGGAAAAGTGCATTTCATAGGTAGCAGGTTTTAAGGATCTGGCAACAGAAATCATTAGCCATTTTTGCATCATCAATTGCTTGTGTGTGGAACAAATTGCATAAGCGGTATTTGTCATTATTTTTGGTACATTGAAGAAGGGCTCACCTATTAATGAGCAGGTAGTTGCAGCGGTAGACTAACAATGGCCTGCAGCACCGATTTGTATGTCTGCTCATGGGGGTGTGTGATAGACTTACTTCCACGTGGTACATCCTGGGCAGCGTATATTCATACGACAAAAAAGTCTATTAACCGGCAGTTGACTTCAAACTACCATGACTCCACTGCATGTCATATTCGACTATTTCCCCAGTACTCATCTCATCTTCTCTGCCTCTGTCTGCCTGTCTCTTTTACATTTGTGAATCATTATTCTGTCCCCCCCCCCTCCCGACTTTTTGTCACTTTGATGTTCCCCCTCCTCCTCTGTGAAGCCTGAAGTCAGCTAAAATGCTAATGATAACTATCAAAATGGCTGCCATTTGAAATAAATAAATAAATGTCTGCTCATGTGTGCTCACTGTTTTTATGGCTTCAGAGGAACATGCGTCTAGTTTCGTATTAGTGCTATACCTCTCTCTCTCTCTTCCTACTCCCCTAGACACCTCTAGGACCCCGAGAACATTTGTCATCCAGATCTTTTTTTCAAATTTATAAAGGCTGCTTAGTTCCTACTAAAAATGCTTTCTATAGACTTTCCATAAACATATAATGTTTAAATTCGAAGCATTGACATTTATTTTATATGCGAAAGTCCGTCCAAGTGCATTGCATAGTCTTCTCAAATTCTCTAAGCGAATATTGTTAGGAGATAGAAGTAATGGGAGGCGAAATTTAATTGGAAATTACTGTCGTGGATAAAGGATTTTTTCTCCTCCGGGATGAAGCCTATTAGATGCTTTTTAAATTAAGTGATCTTTTACCCACTGCACATTGTTTTCGCAACGGAAACAGAAGTACATTAGCGTATATTAGAGCAAGAAAGCGAGGAATTTGGGGGCACAAATATTAATACAATTAAGCCTGCCATAATTTTGTGTCTAATTCTTCCTTCATATCTATGCCTGAAATAATTGTGTGGGCAACATAGTCCCTAGGCGCTTCTATATGATATTTTTGTAATCACTTGCCAATTCAAGTGCTTTTATGCCAGATTATGTATTATATTCGAACGCTTTGTGCAAATTGGGTGCATTGAGGGTGTTTCACCCAAAGTATGCCGCAAACACGGTAGTTGGCTATCGTCATTTAGACTTTCAATCGCCTCCACCTTCTCTTCCTCCTTAGCTTGTTTTGGTCTGGTTTATTTGCACACGTAAACAGTCGATTCTCGCACCATCTCCATCCCTGTTCCTCTCTCCCCCCCCCACCCCCACCCCCCCGATCTCTGTTTCCACTAACTATCGAATTTTAATTGCTGCTGTGCAACATTCAATTATAAGCTTTCAGAAGTAGTTGATACTTGGACCGTAATTATTGATAAACCGGTCGGCATGTGAGACAAAGCATTGTGCACTCTGTTAGTAAGCCCACAACTTATCTTTTAGCTCGCTTTATTGTTGTCTAGGCCCCAGGACTAAGTTACCAAATGCTAAGGACTACTGGCAGTCCAATTGGCAAACTTGATATATATTATTTCCTACCTCAAAGTCTCTCCACTTGCTTTCCTCTGGATACATGTAGTGTTATGTAGCAGACGATTTATCTTGGTAGATGTCCAAGATAATGAGGCAACTCCTCTTTGGGCAAAGTATAGCCTTAATGCTGGTGGGGGGGAAGGTGGGGGGGGGGGGGAAAGACACCGCCGAAATTGTCCGCGGAGGTGCATAATAGGATAGACAGCAATAATTGACTACCTTTGCGTAACGCATGTGATTTGATAGTCTCATGAATGGCATGTTGACATCATTGCTACATTTTCGCCATTATTGATGGTGTGTAATGTAACTAACAACCCCGAAATATTCACCAAAAATAGCAGTGGAGATGATCAGAAAAGACGATCTTACAGGTGATTTTATCTAATAAATTATACCCAGTTGCCTTTGAAAAATTGCACAATTAATCTTTTTTTCAATGCAAAGGAGAGGAAGAAATTAAAGAAAAATAAATCAATACCCTGCTCACTTCCATTTTCACCTTGGCATCGAGCCTATAATGGTATATTATTTTTTT